AACATTCATTTTGTCTTCAGAAACAATTCATCAGTGATCTTTTCCCAAATTTCAATCTGTTGCGACCTAGTTTATCATGCTTACCACTTACTAATAATGCCATTTATTGTCCTCTGAATTCCCCATGTATGTTTCCTAAGACAATTCATGCTACCAAACAGTATGTTTCCTGCAGCCTCTTCCTTGGTGCTCTACAATTCAGCTCCCCATAAGCTGGAAGCAAGGCTGGACCTCCCCAAGCTGTATTCACATGTAAGCCATAAAGGATCTTGATTCTATTCCTTGGATTTCTAGCAACAACATCTTTTATTCCTGCTATGGTTTCTAGGAAATTTGTATCATTTCTTTCCAAACAAATGTTTCCCTTTAATGGAGTTCATCTTCCCTGCCTCACAGTTCTCTTAAAGAATTACATATCTAGTTCATGAATTCCTAGTAAATCAAATTACTTTCACAGAATACATAGATTGAGATGATCTTGAAAGTAAAAAAAATGTTATTAAGTCCTCTTTCATTCTGCAGCCCCATCATGTTAAAGAGTGAAAATGTAATTTTCAGACTCATACTCTCCTATTCCCAAACCACCACTCGCTCACTTCCTCATTTTTAAGTTCGATTTTATTTTCTGTCATTGTGCAATTTTACCAAAATCTTTTTAACATTTCATTGCATCAGGTCAGTGAGTCACCAGCCTGTACTAGAAGCAATGAAGGATTACCAAGGAGGTGGGACCCGTTCTCATCGTCACACACTTATAATCAAACTGAGAAAATAAGCACACACAAACAAAATATTAATATGGCCTCAAGTATATAGAAATCTATGAGCCCAAATCATTCATGTCCCCTTAGGCATGTAGCTCTTATTATCAACTTGTGATTAAGTCAGCATTCCCTCTACGTCTTTACGTATTCAGAGAACCAGAATAACCATCCCAAAGGCCATAACAGAAGTTTCCTAAGAAGTTATAACACTCCACATGAAAAATGAACACATAGAGACACAAAATAAAGATACTGCAATTATATTAATGCTGCACATACATGCACATAAGTGAAGATGAGATATTGTAAAGATATTCACTAGAGCTGCTTCCGAATAATGCAGGAAGGCTTCCTGAAAGAAGCATGAAGTCAAGTACTACATAATAAATAATAAAAGAGCCAACCTATAGGAACTAAAACAGACAGGAGGCCAAAAATATACAGACTCACGCAAGCAGAGACGACTAGACATGTAAATAAATCTATAGACAGAGAGCACAGTAATATAATAATCAAAAGAGAAAGGTAAACATAATGTGCAACCCAGATACAAATCAACAATTACTTAAAAGATGACACAAACAGAGGCCCTTCAATTCTTTAAAAAGAAAGGTAAAAATATTAATAAGTCAATGACTAATGATAAAAATTTTAAGTAATCACTTAACAAAAAACTTCCAACCAGTGGAAGAAAACATCCAATAAAAGAAAAAAAAAACAATAAAGGCAGATGAAAGCAAAGAAAAAGATTTCTATAAAAATGGAAAATAAGATGCTGTAAATAAATCAAAATGTAATTCATCAGAACAAATACACAAAGTTTAAACTTGCCAGTTAGGCTTTCGGAACCTATACATGTAAGGCTAGACAGAATATCGACACCATATGCTACATAAAAGCTAATGTGGGTCTATTAGTTTCAAGAAAAATATTAGGAAAAAAGAAAGTTAGAAAATAGTGTTGAGGAACGCTCTCAGAAAATACAGCACTAAGATATAGGACTGAAAAATAGGAGAGAAAGAACAAGGGAGTCAAGGACTAGTCCAGTAGGTAGAATATCTCAATAAAAGAGGTTCCATTAAGAGAGAGAACAGAGAAAAACAGGCAAAGGGATAAAGATAATCACCTTCGGAAAAAATTCAACACAAAAAGGCATGCTCTTCCAAGATGAAAAGCAGAAATGATGAAAATGGACCCCACACTACGCCAGTTTCCACTTTCCACTTCCTAGAAAAGTCTCAGATCCCTGGGACAGAAGATACGTCCAACTTCCAGAAAGAGAAAATAGGTCACAGATAGAGGATCAGAAACCACAATGACTTCATTTCTTTCTTTTTTTTTTTTTTAACTGCTTCAGATTTCTTTTAATTAAATTGTGTGACTTCGTTTCTTATTAGAAGGTGGAATATAAGGACACTTAACCACTCAGAATTCTGAGAAGGTATCTCTAGCCTAGCATGTTATAAGCAGATGGGAGAGCAGTGTGAAGAGAGATTTAAGAAAATGAGGTTGACAGACCATTTATTGCTTGAATCAAGGTAACGAGAAATTTAACAAATTGGCAGAGAGTTTAGCAGTTGAGCTAATAATAAGTACCTAGAAAACTAAGCAAGTGAAAAAGTCAGTTACCAACTCTCAGGGAAATGGAAAGTGCAGAAAAGGAAAAGTTAGCAGGGTGGGCTACAAGGTCTCTGTGGACAGAAACTTGTGTTCATGTTGACAAAAACACGTGATATTATTGAAACAAAATCTGTCTGTATTGGGAATGCCGTGACAGAAACAATGCAACTATCGTGTGAGGACCGAGAGTAAAAGTGGTCAAACTTCAACTTCCACAGTGAAAGTCAAAGATAAATCCTAAAACTAATGAACTAGCAGTCAGGCCTATCGACCTGCCGTTTGGTGACAAGTAAATAAATACAAGGAGATTCTGCTAAACAATATGAGTCTTGCTTCTAACAGCAGCATCCTTCACTGTGCTCTGTGGTGAGCTGGTGCATGATTAACAACTGGTTCTAAAGTAGCTGTAAGAAGTCTTCATTTTCAGTACTTCGACTAGGCCAGTTCCAAGCTTTCGCCATGATATCACTGAACGTGGCTTTCCTGTGTCAGCGGCCAGTCCAGCCAGCCACTGACTACCTCACAGGACAGGTTTGCTTGAAGGGAGACCCCGGAAGGGCGCCTTCTTAGCCACCCCCATCATCATCCCAGTGAGTTAACCAAGTCTGGCTCTTGGAAGCATGAAAAGTGTATGTTAGAATTGTCTATTTTTTTTTTAATTTTCCTTAATGATGAGTAACTTTGAGAGTCCTTTAATATGACTATATTTTACATCACATACATTAATTATTATTTCAATACACTTAATGCAATTTTCCTTTCTATGAAATAAGTCATTGTTTTGCTTATTAAACTCTTTATGCGTATGTTCTAAATTAACAAAATCTTAATGCCTGATCTTAATTTACTAGTCTATTTAGTGAGTGAATAAAAACTACTGCTTATCATCTCCCTGTAGGATTATAACTCTCAAAATTAACTACTATCAACGTTATCCATAGGCCAAATAGGGAAGAAACAAATGTACCTTAAAAATTTTATGTATATAGAACCTAAAATTCATAAGGAGGCCACCCTGGTGGCTGAGTGGTTAAGTCTCAGCACTATTATGGATATAGCCTGAGTTCAATCCTCAGCCAGGGAGCTGACCCACATGGTACACAAGACCTCTCCTGTCTCTCCTACTGTTCCCCTCAACATTTGTATTTCAGTACATCTGCCTCTTCTGCTCCTCACTATGTCTCTGGTGAATTCTCTCACCCCCTGAATCCCTGTTCTACAGCCTACATTTTCATTATAGAAGTAAATATTTTTTAAGATCAATTAAAAAATAAACTAAATTTTAAAAGTAATTGAATTCCTTTTTCCTATTATTAATGAAGTTACAACTACCTGTACAATTTCAAAATGCAGTGCCTACCCTTACCTTTCAGGGAAAGCATTTCTTTCTTTCTTTTTAAAGATTTATTTATTTATTCATACAGAACTGGGGTACAGGCCAGAGATGCAGGAGGGTGAGAGGATCACCAGGAACAGAGTGGGGAGCAAAACAGGCAGACCGACGAAGTACACTGCTGAGGGGAGCAGCAGGCGGGTCAGGAGAGGTCTGCCATGCCATGTGGTCACCTCCGGGGCAGGCGGGAATTGAACTCATGTGGAAGCGGCTTTAGATTCTTAGTGCAGTGCTTTAACCCGCTGCGCCACCAGGGAGGGCCCCAGGAAGCATTTCTTTTAAAGATCATTGAAATTGATTTAAAGTAAAAATTTTATGGGAAAAAAGTCACTGAAAAAAAGTCTCAATCTACCTCCCAACACACACAGAATAACTGCAATGAAAACAGTCATGGAGAATTTCCCAAATGAGCAGTCTACAAGGACAAAGCAGAATCTTCAGGGAAATTAAGTTTGTAACATTATCATTATAAACACATTTTAATAATAGATATATTCTACATTAGCTCATTTATATATTATTAGTTGAGGTTATTGGTTGGTTTGCTGTTGCATATTGAAAAACATCCACTATTAAGTCAGAGGCTAAGAGGCCCTGAATGATGTGGTCTTTTAAGATATTATATATGCTTTCAGTATTTCTAATACGGTAACACTGTACAAAACCCTGAATTAGAACACATATCAGATATTATCTAAAACAAGTTCTAACCACAAGTATACTCAGATGAAATTTGAAGCAAAAGGAATAAAGAAAAAAAAGGCAAAAATTCAAAGACTGTTTTCCATAAAAGATTTTTAACTTTATGTTAACACAAGTAGCATTAGCATAAACACCTAGAGGGAACAAGTTAAAAAATTTTGGTGTGTCTAGTTTTAAAATGCTGCAGTTTTGCACAGAAAATACATCTTTTTCATTCTATTTCAATCAATTATCTATTTCATGCACTGTATTTTCTCCAAATGTTGCTGTTTTCTTATGTTCTACTTTCTCCAACCACAACCTCCATCCACCATCATTTTCCTAGCAATTAATATTTTCCACCAGAAATCAAGAAATATAAACCAATGAAAATTATTTAATATAGCCAAGTGCTGCTATCTTAAAGGATGAAGTTTGAAAGTGGTGACTAAAATAGATGTTTGGCTAACTTATGAACTCCTTTTTATCTAATATTCTGGAAACAATAATCCACAGTAAACCAAAAGAGAAAAAGCACTTACCTCATCCACATTTTCGAAGGCATTGATGATGTCATAAGGTAAACAAGACAACAGATCGATCACAAACCAAGTTTTCAAATAGTTCATCCTTATCAACTTGGGGTCAGAAATAACCTCTCCACCAGGTCCCACAAAAGTGGTATGAAAATTTAAAACAATGTCCACCAGGAAAATGACATCTACCACACTGTCCAGCACCAGCCAGGCTATGTTGTTCTGCTTCGTTTTGAAGGAGACATTGTAAGGAACCATAATGGCGGTATAGAAGGTAAGAATTAAAATCACCCAATCCCAAGTAGTTTTAAAAGCACAATAGTGTAAAATAATGTGTGGTGGCGTCTTTGGCGCTTCTTGTTTATACTGAGGAAGGATATCTGATCCCAGCTGAAGAACCTAGAAGAGAGAAAATGTATGCATAAATGACTTGGACATTCTGCAATGATGAACTCACACTTACCCAGCAGTCAAACCACCGCTGACTTAAAGAATATTGACTTTCCTGACCATATATAAATCCCTTTAGGGGAAAAAATGTGCTTAATACTTAGTTTTGCTTCTGTATATCGTCTAAACAAATGGAAGCATGGCAATGCAAAGTTATATGAACCTTAACTTCCTCATATTATGTCTAATTAAAGAGATGATGGGGGGGAAAGCAGATAAGAAAGCAAGATTAGAGGCTTGGACAGTCCCCGGTAAAGGTAACAAACTCAAGACAGCAAGCATTGCCTTCTAAAACCTGAAAACTGTGAAAAGGAGTTGAAGGAACAGGTCAGGGTTTCTCTGATCCATGCAATCAATGAACCCAAGGCTGAATAAACCTTAACGGTGCCTCTCTCGTGGCCCAAGGAGTTAAGACTCAATGCTATCAAGCTATCAGCAGCCACTGTGTGGCCAGGGACCTCTCCTGCCTCACCCGCTGCGCCCCTCAGCAGTGTATTTCAGTCAGTCTGCCTGTTCTGCTCCCCACACTGTCTCTCTCCTACCTGCTCTTATATGCATAAATAAAAAAAAAAATAAAAATCAACCTATGTGCTAAGGAGTTAGGTAGAGTTGTAAATAATGTTTCAGCAGCATTGCCCAACTTTGCATCCAAATATTCAGTGTCTCCAAGACTTATGGGATCCAGGAGTTAAGAGTCAAAATATTCAAATCATAAAGTCATAAAAGCATTAAACATTTGAATGCAAGAATAGTTATAAATAAAATACCTCATAGTAAGTCGCTCATATGCCACAGGCAATACAAACATTCTAGCACTTTTAGAAACTTGGGAAAGATTTATCCCAACAGTTTCTCTCAAACATAGGATTGCATAGTTGAAAACCATTTTACTATTTTGAAATATAAAAAAACATCATTGATATTCTCTTTGGTTGTGCCTTATAACTACCATTTTTAGTTTGGGAGTTATAAGAACTATTCATAAGGACTTTTATTTATTTACCTCATTAGGAAGTCCCCAGCCAGTTTTTTCCCATAAGGTCTTAAATTAGTACCAAATTATTCTGCCAGGAATATAAGCTACATGTTGGGATAGAGCAATATGTATACACTATGCATACCACACACAATCATAGATTGTCTTTCATCTTTCTACCAGTGGTCTGTCCATTCCAGTTTTATAATATTTAATGTGAAAATTTCCTTCATGGTAAATGCTAATATTTTACTACATATATTTGCACAGTCTATAACTACAGTCTATAACTTAAGTACAAATAAATAAGAGTCAGAAAATAAACTCAGCACCAGGGTAGCTCATTAAGACCTTCAAATACCCAAGCTGTGTGGCCTTCCTGGACCCCTTCCTACATAAAAATAAATAAAATTTAGATTTTACAGCTGTATTACTTTAAAATGCATAAATTAATATTATGGACTCAAATGCTTTACCTAAACATTCGTTTTTTGTTTGTTTGTTTGTTTGTTTGGTTAATAGAAATTGGACCATCTTGGGGACCCTAAAAAGTAGTATGGACCATTGGATAGGAGTGAGGGCAAGTCCTGGGGCCCTCAGTGGCCTTTTCAGGCCATCTGCTGTGGAGCATCTTAACTCTTTCTCTCCGTGCTCTTCCTCGCTAAGCCACTCTATGGCAGCTCTTTCCCTGTCAGACCTGCCCATCTCAGCCTTCAGGCCCAGGTGTGAACACTTCCACATGTCCACACCATACTCCAGGTGTCCACCAATATCCAGTTTGAGAAAATGAGAAAAATGGTAATTTGGTGCTCCTTCTGTGTCAGTCTTTGGAGATCTAAGCATACACACAGACTAACCCTGTTGAAAATGTTATAATTTCTGCTTTGTTCCCTGAAACTTAAAATCCGACAGAGAGAATTTTGTGCCTGAATCATGTTTTTGAGTTTGGGATTACTGGTCAATGTTAACTGGAAATAAAGTTTTAATGATTCAGTGTTTTCAGAGAATTAGAGTGAGAATTCAAACTGAGAAATAGTTGTATTTTATTCTATGACAGCTATTTGTTCCAATAAATACAAGTTTCAATGGAGTTGATATAGGTAGGAGCAGTGAGTCACTGACAGTTAGAATGCAATTATTCTTGATAAGAGGGGTTTCTATTTCCAAATTATCCCAACCTAAAGACATGCTGGTATTAGAGGAAGACAATGCAGGATTAGTCTCTTCCTTTCTACAAAATGTGCTGCAGAAATGCAAAGGCTGGGTGCTCAGAGTTAAATTTTCTTCATCTGGTCACCAGAGCAGGTGAAAAGACTGGTTTTACCTGCAGGCATCAGATTTTTGAATACCTGTTTCGCTTTGCTTTCTTGCCTGATAGCTCTTGGAGGGATAGTAAATGTGAGAGTGGGCAAAAATTTTACCATATAAAGTAATGTTGTGGCAGAGAAGAAAATCCATTTCCCTTACCCCCAACTAAATCTGGGTTCCTCTGAAGCTGGATAGGTGAACAAATTAACATCAGGCCAATTAGTAGAAGAAAATGTTAAAATTTACCCACAACAAAGAATTTATATGAATCTAAATTCTAAGAAAACAGGAGGTGGACCTGGAATATTGATTCTGTATTTAAAGGCCTATGATGTGGGATCCTTGAATTCACTCTGGGAAAGGTATCACTGGAGCTCCACACCACAAGTTTCCCAGGGGAGTATCTCCATGACACAGAGACATTACTTAAATCCAAAAGGGCAGGTTTATTATAAAAGGGAGAGAAGAATAAAGGACACTTGCATAGACACAAGTGGGCAGAAAGGCCACCCTGAAAGGGACAGGATTTTGAAGAGAGGCTGCATGTTTGCAGTGGGCAGCCTTGAGGAAGCTGCCTCTGCTAGAGGGGTCAATGAAGAGAAGCCTGGCAGGGTACAGGTCACAGGCAGGCAGGAGGCTGCTGCCCTGTGGAGGGACAGAGCTGGTGGAAAGGATACCTGCATGGCCCAGGTGGGCAGGACTGTGCCTCGGGCCAGTGCAGAGACTGTCTTCTGTTGAGGGGCTCACTCTTTCTTGTAATGTCCTGAATGAACTTTACAGATACAGATTTTGTGGACTTTACCCTCACCCCAGACATGGGACCTACTAATCCCATCAACATCAAAGAGAAGCTTGCCAGGGACCTGAGGGTGGAGTTAAGCAGCCAGGTTTGAATATAAAACTGGACATGTGAGCTCTGGGGGCCTCTTGGCCCATCACCAATTTTCAGGGGTTCCAGGTCAGCAGAACTGGTAGGATGCATTAATTAACTTATCTCTCTCCTCCCTCTCTCTCTTTCCCTGAGTTATTCATTTCCCTTTTCCCTTGTAAATGAACCCATTATTCACCTTTTTGTGCATGCCGGAAGTTGAATCATAAGCACAGAGGTGAGGACCCACAGTCAGGCAGCCCAATTCACACTGGGTTGCCCCATAACAGTAATGAGTTTCTTCTGTTGATTTTGGGTAACTGTGTGGAATTTTAAAGGGCCAAAGAGTCTACAATGGCCTTCAATTGCCATATTTTCACCTTCAGGAGTGCACTCTTGACACTCCCCACAGCAGTCTCATAGCTGCTTGGGCCGTGTGCTTTGTGATCTAGGCATTACTGAGGATCATAATTCCCATAGCTGGGTCAGTGGCTACACAGTTCCTTCTGTCAGGGTCAGGCACAAGCCAAACAGGCATAGAGAAGGAGCAGATGCTCCAAGAAAAAGCAGATATTCAGGAGCTATAACATCATGATTTATTTGTCACCACCTTGTTTGACAACACTGATTAATACAAGCCCAGCAGAAAAATAAGTTCCAGTTCTTTGTCAGAATTTTCCCCCCAGCCATTTCTCCCCACTACCTAGGCCTATAAAAACCCCTCTTACCCCTCCCTCAGTGTGACTCTGCCACCCCATTTCCACCCCTTTCTGAAACAGGGTGGTCTCAGGAAAGGGGAGGTTCCAGGTTCCCTGCCCCACCCAGTGGAGGGTGTTGCTGAGCAGAAAAGAGAAGAATCTGGAGAGGAGATTGAAAAGGGAGGGAGCAGGATGGAGAGCCAGAAGGTGACCTGAGGGAGGCACATGGAACACAGAAACATGTGAAGAAACTGTCTTACTTCTTGGTCCTGGACTGGTTAAAACAGATGTGAGTGAGAGACCCATGGGGAGGTTGACTATAGCAGCGTTTATCTTGAATTTGACTTCATTCTTTTCCTCCCAGACTTGTCTGGCCATTCCTGACCCTTTTGTATGGGTCCCGGACAGAAGCTGCTTTAGTCTTGTGGCCGGCTTTCAGGCCTTCCTTGGGCCAATCCCTTTTGGGTTGACTTTTACCCATAAGGGTATGGGTAACTTTGAGTGTTTCATTTAGAAACTATATATTTTCTGTCTTTTCTGTATTGCACATGAATTATATTAAAAATCCTTTCCAGGCCCTCTCTGGTGGTACAGCAGGTTAAAGCACAGCACTGACAGGCTAAAGCCACTTCCGCATGAGTTCGATTCCCGCCTGCCTGGGAGGTGACCACATGGCGAGGCAGACCTCTCCTGACCCGCCCGCTGCTCCCCTCAGCAGTGTACTTTGTTGATCTGCCTGTTCTGCTCCCCACTCTATCTCTGGTGAAACCTCTCGCTGCTCCTGAGCCTCTGGCCTGTACCCCAGTTCTGTATGCAAAAATAAATAAATCTTTAAAAAGAAAAGATAATCCTTTCCATTAAAGGTCTTAAATGTCTTGTCTTGATGTGGTGGATGGGAGAACCTATTTAGAGCTGGCAGGTTTGGGGGTCCTGGGGTGCTCCTCTCCCTTCCCTGTACCCCCAACTCCCATTCAAAGCCTCACTCCTTCTTACCCCCACTTTATATGAGTCAAGTTTCCTATTATTTTCCTCCATCAGTGCCAAAAGAAGGGGAGATCTTCACATGATAGACAAGAATGAAGTTACCAAATATTTAGTCTAAGAGTAAAGAAAGGAGACTGCCCAAGAGGACATGATAAACCAGCACTGATACCCCCCCAAACTATTTATATATTCTTCTAAGCCATCTAAAGGGTAGCAGTGTTTGACTCTTCAATGAAAAAAAAAAGGTCCAGGGACAAAAAGCAGCGAAGGCCATCACTGCTCTTAATTTAAAATAATCTCCATTCTTTAAGTAACGGTAATAGATCTCCTCAGACTCAGGGGTCTCAACTGGCTTTTAATCCACATCAGGCTGGCCCTTATTGAAAGAAGCTTACACTGGGCATTTTAAGAAAAGCTAGCTGACCCTTTGGGGGAGACCAGCCAACACTATAACCAAAAAACAAAGCAAAAAAAAAAATTAAACGGGCAGAATCAGGAATAAAAAGTCCTCAAAATCAAAAATAAAAATGATGAGATGTCAAGGAACATAAACTTTTCACTTGGGGGTTGGGGTGGAAACCCACTAATAATTCAGATTGCTGATGCTAAGGTAGAAAATATTCCTCTTTTGTCCCTTTCCTTCTCTTCTTGCCCAGTTTTGTTCACAGAGAAAGAAAAACCCTGACTAGGGTGTAGCTGAGACCCAGAAGGAACCAGAACAAAGTCAGCAGTCACTGAAACCAGCTCCTATACTTCAGCTTAACTTGTAGGTACAAATGGGTGACTGGAGGCAGCAAAGAAAGCAGCCTGAAAATCAAGTTATATGTAATAACTAGCATTTATTCAGAGGATGTTATATCTAATTGTCTACTCTAAATCTTGTCTTAATTGCATATAATCTAAAATATGGTGATTGTGAAAGAAAATCAGTATGTTCTAGACAAAGGGAAGAGACAGGGTGGGCAGGTCAAAATGAGCTGCTGAGAAGGGTGAAGTGGCCTCTGCTACCACTGTCACAGATCAAGACTGGACTGCCTGGGGGCCTCAGGCCCCATCCTGTGACACCATCCCAGCAAGAGAGCCTTTCATAGCTCTCCCAAATTCAAAGCCTTTCTCAGGTTACACCTACCAGAGAAAATTTAAAGTCTTCAAAGGACCCTGTCTATAAATTAGCATAGGCCCATTGAAGACCATACCCTGAAAAAGGAATTCTTTGGTTTGCTCCCACTTGTCTCAAATGTCACTCCTCTTTTTCTAACAAAGTCCTCCTATTTTAATATTTAAACTATTTGACATACTTATAAACCAAACCCAACTGAGAGGTCAGGAGAGGTGGTGAGTTGAAGAAGAAACTGACTAGGACTGCTTTCCCAACTGTTTGCTTCTGTGTCAAATACTTTGATTATCTAAAAAACTCTCTCTAGGGTTTCCCTGGAGGTGCAAAGGTCAGTCCCAGCAAGCTATCACCAGCCACTGCAGCATGAATTCAATCCCCACACAGGGAGCTGACCCACTTGGCACAGCTCTCCTGTCTCATTTGCTGCTCCCCACAGCAGTGTATTTCAGTAGATCTACCTGTTTTGTTCCCTAGTGAATCCTCTCAACTTTGTCCCCAAACCTCTGGCCTACACTCCAGAGGTTTGTATACAAAAACAAAAATAAATCTTTAAGAAAAAAAAGCTGGACTTTTACTCTAGTTAACATAATTATTATTATTATTGGTTAATATTTAATTATGATAATGTCCTATTTGGGCTTTTAAAAGCATGTCTACACATGAAAGCATTAGTCTCTCCCCAAGCTAACAGCACTATTTGGGGCAGAAATTCACACAAATCTCAGTGTGAACTATGGAACTATGGTTGAGAACTCTCCAAATTCACTTCCTAGTCCTCCCCAAACCAAATATAAAATCCTCAACTAATTAAGAAGTTTATTCTTGAAGAAAAAAGATCACTAGTTTTGAACTTCATGTATCATATACAGATCTTTATTTATAATGATATCTATCTGAAACCTATATAATACTATCAACCAATGTTACTTCAATTATTTCCTAAAGATACTCTGGAGTACGTTAACTCCCTTTAGCAGAGAAAACTGAAGAGCATATACATTTAGTTTTAATCTTTCTCATCTTTGCTAAGTTACTTCAGAAGATTTTGGGAATACTGAATTAGATTTACAATATTTTCACACCAGTAAGCTAAATGATGAGTCCACAAGACATGTAAGCATGAAAGCTTCTAGCTATCTCAGTGTTCTGTCCTCCTGGTTCTTTGGTTCTGATACAATGACATCCAGTCCAGTGGCTGTACTAGCCATATCTTAAGGGTCACACCCTTACAACTGAAGCCCAAATACCCTCTGGAGTCAGACTCATAAATCCTAGTGCTCCTCAGGCATTGCATTTCAGGCACTTTTTTTTTTTTTAAGATACATGTAGTTATTTTTGTGTGGAAGAACTGCAGTGTGGGCCTGAGGTACAGGGAATGAGAAATTCACCAGAGACAGAGTGGGGAGCAGAACAGGTGGATTCACTGAAACACACTGCTGAAGGGAGCAGTGGGCAATAAAGGAGAGGTTTTCTGTGCCATGTGGGTCAGCTCCCTGTTCAGGGATTGAATTCGGGTCATAGTGGTGGTAGAACTGAGGTTTAACCTCTAGACCACCAGGAAGGCCCCCACTTCCAGCACCTTCAAATTTAATGTCTATCATTTCCTCCAAGCCCTCTCTTCCTCTTTTTATTCACCATTAAATTCACCAACAGCACTCTCTACCCAGCTCTCCAAGATGAAGACATAGAGTTGTCCTTTACACCTTTGCTTTCTTACATTTAATTCTAATCTATCAACAAATGTGCTAACTTTAATCTTGGTGTGTCTATAATCTGCTTCTTCTACTGATTTTCTTGCTTAAACCATGGTCGATCCAGTTATCAATAAATTACTACTCAGACCTTTTAACTGTTTTCCCTATCTACCCACAAGGCTAGTCAGGGACTCTTAATCATTTTCATAGCATGGATCCCTTTTCATAATCCAGCAAGGTTGATGAACCTCTGTTTAGAATTGCTTTAAAATAAAGTAGAAGGTTACAAAGGAAACTACTAGGACCAATTTCCTTATGAGAGCTCTGTCTGAAGTACAAATGGGATCAATCTTATCTTTCCCTGGAATATGGTACACCAACCATCACTGTTTCATTGAATACTCCCCTTATCCTTTCCTCTCCCATCCAACTGCATTCATACTGAAAGTCATATTCAAAGTCAGGAATCAGTCTCACCTTTTAGCCTTCACATGTGCTAGCCTCCCTAGAAGAAATGCTATCACCCCCTCTTTACCTGTCAGGTATATTTTCCCTCCATGATTCACTGAGCTCAAATATTGCCTCATTCAAGTAGCCCTCTCTAGAGTTTCAAGTCTGAGTAAATACTTCTCTGGGTATATGTACTCCCACTGTCATACTATAATCACATCCTACTGCTGGTCACCTATACTGAATCTTTAGCTCCTTGATGACTGGACCTAAGGCTTACTCATCTTACATCCTTTGCCAAGTACCAAGCATAGAGCTAACCCTTGATAGTTATGTGTTGCATACAGAAATGAATAAATGAGTAAATTTCCAATCTCTTTTGTGCAAAGGAAACCTCATAATTCAGATACCACCAGAGATGTCAGGACCTAATTTCCCATTTCAAAATTAGGAAGAAATAAAAAGAAAAAATTGAAATTTTTATTATTCTACAAGGGAAAAATAACTTACAGGTAAGCACTAATAAAATAATAACCAACATATCTAAGCATTGGGAGTGGAGGGTAGGGCCCCACCACTTTGAAAAGCACAGTTAGTCACATACTTACTTCAGCTAACCTTGAATGTTTGTGGACAACCTCTGTTTTATTCATTGGTGTAAGCTGCTGCAAAACACTTCGACTGTTTGTCAAAGCCCGAGTCAATCGGGCAAATTTTGTCCAACCTTAAAAATAAGGGAAGAAAGTTTCAGTTTTTCACACATTATGAATATAGGATAAAGCATCCTTACTGCTACTCAAAGGCTCTGAGATATAATATCCAGAATGAATGAAAAGTATCAATCTAAGTCATTTGATTTCTACATAGACACCATCATCTACTTCAAGTGTGAAATAAACTAAAGAGTAATTTTTGCATGTGACTTTTTGTTTTGCTTAAATTTATTACTTAACCCCCATAGCCAAGGTATGTTGCTATCTACAAAATGCTGTGCTCCCCATACATTGTATAGGTTTGGTGCTAAGTAATAGCTGCACAGCCAGGAACATTTCTCCCAGCATTTCTTTCCTCTTGGTGTGACTACGCTCCTTACGCTCGCCAATAGAAAAAAGCCAATGTAATGTATGCCACTGTTATGCATGTCACAGCATAAAAGCCATATGAGAGGAGAGCCACATGAGAAATGTCTCCCTCCTTCTACCAGCTAGTGAAAACACAGGGAGGCCACAGGGAACAGGAGGCCACAGGGAACAGGCCTCTCAATCAGTCCATAGCAGAATGAGCATATCCCGGGATCACCTGCCTAGGATTATTAGGTGAGCAAGAAATATGCTTCTATGGTGTTAATTCACTGAATGTTAGGGGTTTATTTGTTAGAGCAAGTAGTACTACCCTAATAAAATCTCCTGCTGTATATTTGTGTGTAATATCCACACATAACAAAAGTCCAATTTCAACAAATTTCACATGGTTCATTTCAAACACCTCCATCTTCCTTGTAATACAGAAAAATGTTACTTGCCCCTTATTAGCAACACAGTGATTATCGAAAGATTGTTTTAACATGTCTATAATCCCTAGTACTGTTTTCTGAAATAGCAGTAATTTTAACTTCTGAGAGGAAGAGATATGAACTTACTGAGTAAGATATTTCTTCTGGGACTTCAAATTTCCATTATTAAAATCATAAATTTCAAAGCATGTCAATGAGATGTGAACAAGAAGCTCTACTAGTCAGTCTGCTAGAGACAGTTAGAGACTCCAAAATTTCTATCAAGTAGACTTAATGGAGTATTTAACAATTTCTTGAAAGTAAAAACTCCTTATAGTCCAAAGAAATAACTGCATTGGCAATGATGAGATTTCACGTAATGTGACACAAGATACAGAAAGAAATCCTGTGCAGAGTCAAATGTCTTCCAAAATGCACCAGACAGGTGAGCTACTTTATGACTATTAATCAGGCAAACTTTGACTTCATTTAAGCTTATATTGCCCCACAAATTCATACCTCACTATGATAGCCAACATTTAGATTTAAAAAAAAAAAGTTTAGTATCACTTGCTAGAGATCTTTACTTCTTCATCGATGAAGAAGTGACTCAAAGAATGCTAAACTTTGGGAATTATCTGTAACCCTAAGGTTTACCCTGAGCATGTGCAGGAAAAATAAAGAAGCACCAAATAAGCCTCCAGTTCTATAAGAAGTCAACATCAACTAAAAGACCAGTATCAGTCTATATATCCACTGTAGGCTTTGTTCTAAGTACTAGATACTGTCCTAAGTTTCTAGTTGACTATTGATCATCTCCTATAAACATTTTCTAGAGGCACCTGACGTTCAACACTTTCAAAATTACCTCATCATCATCCTTTCCCTTCATGTCCAACTCTGTATCTTTGATATATTCATGATTTTGGTGAATAGCCCAATAATACTCCAGTTACCTAATCAAAAATGAACTTTACCAACCTTCTTCACTCACAATTCTAGGCATTCACATGCATACACTCATTTCCAAGATTTAGAGATGAAAACATGTCAGGAAATATCCTCAAGTTGAATCTCCTTCTCCATCCCTACTATGTCAAATTATATTATCTTCCACCTTGAGTTAGGTGGCAGCATCCTGAAGACCATACTTTCTACCTGCTACCTAACCAGATACTCATGAGCAACTCTCTATATTATTGCAAAGTTCCTCCTAAAGCACAAATCTAACCAGGCTTTTCCCCCATTATACTATTTTAGCAATCCCTGGAGGTTTCCAGAATAATACTAATACTGAACATCCTTGGTCATTTAATTTCTGACCCCCAAATTTGTTATGTACCAGTCTCCTTCCACTTCTTATATATTCTATATCTCAGCCTTACTAAAATCAGTAACAAATTAAAATAATAATTAAATTCAAATTTTAAAATTAAATTTACTAGAAATTCTCTGTATGCCCTATGATAGTGAGTGTTTCTAAGCTTTCACATATGATAACTTCTGGGAGGAAGAGATAAGAACTTACTGAAAGAGGAATTTCTTCTGGGACTTCAAATTTCCATTATCAAAATTTAAATATAATTGAACAAAAAAGCCTACAATGCTTTTTCCCACCCCAACAGACTTCTGACCTCCAGATTCAATTAAAGCATTATCTCAGCTTATGGAAACTTCCTTAACCTACCCATAAAAGAGATGCTCCTTTCTCTGTACACTTACACCATAAGATGCATACTTCACATGGCACTAACAGCACCAATAAAGCTGTTGGTTAACATGTCAGTCATTCTTGTTATTGCTCATCTCACTGTGGTTGATTGAGGGGCTAGCATAAAACAAACCATTAATTAGTCAAATTTGTTGATAACTAATAACCAGGTTTAAAATAAGCCCAGTTTGTTTTACTAACATTTTATTTTGGTTTGGTTTTGATTTATAGGATGAAAGTGGAGCAGTAAACTTCAGATGACAGTACCTATGTTGGCAATAAATATGTTAGGTATTTTCTGAAGATAAATTCTTTATTCTCAAAGTCTTTTTCGCACAGTGTATTCTGAGTGAGACCACCCTAAAGCACAGATGAAAAGAGAGTTTACTGAATGCTGTGACATTTAGATGCCAGATCTTATTTTTTCTCTCCCTGGTTGTCTAGAGAAACCAGGGACATATTTTGTTGAATAACTGAATGAATTATGAAATTAGTAAAAAAAAAAAAGTTAAATAGGAATGAACACTGTTTCTACACTATATTAGCTTAAATGAAATTTTAATTTTAACTTTATCTGCTCTTAACAGGTAAAATTAACTAGAATAACATACTGTCATGAAGAAAGGGTCTTGGGTTAGAAAGAGTAGGAACGATGTGGTAGTTGAGGCTGGGAAGGAAAACCTGGAAGTGTTGAAGATGATAATCTGCCCTCACAGAGAGAATTGGCTAGCTAGCTGTTGTGATGAATGAAAGAAAGGTAGGGATGAATGTTAAGCAGAAGCAGCTATCCTGAAGAAAGAAAACTATGGGAAATATTTCTTCTTCCTAGAGAAATCAAAGTCAAAGCAGTTGTAAAATTGAGTTGCCATTTTTGAGTTTTGACACCAAAATAACCCTCAGAGCTGAAGAAAAAATGCAAAGTCAAAGAATGTTTGTTTCATATTTAAATTAATGGAAATACTGAAAGATGAGATCTCTGAGCTGATAGGCAAACTTTTCAGCTCTGCATAGGACTTTCTTGGAATCATCAGTTCCAAACAATTAGCAATTTTCTGAAGACCCGTCTAAATATCTTTCTCTCCTCAACTCTCAGCAGATTCCCTTGCCAATTATCTTACTGGAAAAAAAAAAAAAAAAAAAACAGAAGCCTCGTGGCCATCTGTATTTCCTCTTTGGAGAAGTGTCTTTTTAGCTCTTCTACCCATTTTTTTGATGAGGTTGTTCATGCTATTTTTATCGAGTTTCTTCAGCTCTTTGTATATCTTTGTGATCAATCCTTTATCATTAGTATTGTGTGAAAAAACTTTCTCCTAATCAGAGTGGTGTCTCTTTGTTTTGTGTAATGTCTCTTTTGCTGTACAGAATCTCTTTAGCTTGATGTAGTTGTTGTAAAACAACTTTCCTTCACTATCCTTGCTTTGGATGTTGTATCTTTAAAGATGTTACTGAGGTGTATGTCGTGTAGTGTTTCTCCCACCTTTGCTTCCAGATACTTTATGGTTTTGGTCTTATGCCTAGGGCTTTAATACAATTTAAGTTGGTTTTTTGTGCATGGTGCGAGGTAGGGATGTAGCTTCATTTTTTTGCATATAGCAGCATAGTTTTCCCAGCATCATTTGTTGAACAAACTTTCTTTGTTCCATTGCATATTCATTGTTCTTTTGTCAAAGATTAGCCATCCATAAACTTGTGGGTTTATATCTGTGTTTTCTATTCAAATCCACTGGTCTATGTGCCTATTCTTGTTCCAGTGCCACGCAGTTTTAATTATTACGGCTTTGTAGAATAGCTTGTAGCTAACAGGCATATGAAAAAATGTTCAACATCACTTGTAATAAGGGAGATGCAAATTAGAGCCACATTCTCCAGTGAGCATGGCACATTTTAAAACAACTAGCAACAACAAATGTTGGCAAGGAAGTGGTGAAAAAGGAACTCTCCTACACTGCTAGTGGGAATGAAAACTAGTACAATTACTATGGAAAGTTGTTTGGAGATTTCTCAAACTGCTAAAAATGGACCATCCATATGCCCTAGCAATTCCATTCCTAGGTATCTGCCCAAAGGACACAAAAACTGAATCAAAAAGACACCTGCACCTCCATGTTTATTGCTACTCTATTTACAATAGGGAACACATGGAATCAACCCAAATGCCCAAAAGTATATGACTGTATTAAAAAGATTTGGTACATATATACAATGGAACATTACTCAGCAAGCAGAAAAGATAAACTCATGCCTTTTGCAGCAACATGGAGCATAAGGGATTGGGGGTGGTGAGGTGGGGGGGGCAAAACAATTGTAATAAAAAAAAACTAAATACAATGAACAACTATATATCAGAGACATTTTATGGGAATGGGGGAGTGGGATCAAAAATGGGGTGGGAAAGGTGCATGGGACTATAGTGATGGCACATGAGTGAATTGGTGGTGGGAAGTCCACAGGGATTATCACCGAGATGGAAAATGAACAAAATGAAGAATGATGTAAAAATAAATTTGGAAAAAAAAAAGAA